TCTTGCCTTGGGAGACTCATTATCCCTGGCAGCATCACGTCGTGATGCTAACCCCTTGGACAGCCTCAATGAGCCCTACACTGGATACCCTATAGAACCATTCGTGAACAGTTGTTAGAATGTAGTCCTCCACGGCTTAATGGGGACCCAACTTTCAGACATGGCCGTATCTCTGAATGGGCCGTTCTGGTGTGCCAAAAAAGTTTCCAAACACCAAGACCGCCCAATACAATGGGTCTTGCACAATCCGTGTATGCAAATTTCTGGCTGCCATAGGTGCTGCTGCTACAAACTCTGCAAAAAAAGCCTGGAACACTCGACGCCATGGACCGAGAGCAAAGTAAGTCCACCCCTCAAACCCAAGCCTAAAGCCTTTGAGGGCTCTTAGCGGGGACCCTAGAATGGATCCCTAATCGCATTACCACAAATTCTAACCCTCATATTTAAAGGTCCTTCCTGAAGCCCCCAGATCCTTTCTTGAAAAGGTACCCAAGCACACTCATCCCATAGCTCAAAGATACCTCCACACACCGTCGGATACCAACCCAGGCGGTGAAGGCTGTGGCCAGGGTCCCAGCAGCCTGCAACTCCTTGGCCAGGGCATCATATTTTTCTCAAGGGGTTATTGGGTATATATATATATATGTATATAGGGGTATAATATGGGGATAATGGAAAAGAAAATGGAAACTACTATTTAGGGCTTCAATCGGAATATCGCAGAGATGCTACAGGAGTTCTCAGAGTGAAATCCCCAAGACGGATCCTCATGATCCTCTTAGGCTCGCATGGTCCCAGCGCCTAATGGAATGGGCTTCACTGGTAGGAGGAAAACACAAAGGTCTTGCTGGATTGACGTAGGATACACGTAGAGGAGGACCTGACTACAGAGACTTGAGTCTCAAAGCCAATCTTTCCCATTTTTGAGACTTTCAGGAACACCCTTTGAGAGATTTATCCAGGGAGTAGAGCACAGGAGGTTTAGGGTACCGTGCACGCCTGCCGAATTCAGCTGCTGAGCAATCGTAAACGTTCAAGGATTCCAAGCTGTTCCAGGGCTACTAATTATGGAGCAAGTTCCAAAATCAATATCTGGTGGACTGCAGGCGTGGATGCTTTGGCTTAATTACGTGCACGGCTTTTGTGTGGACAACCTGCAGCATTCTAGGCAAGTCACCATAGCTTTTAGAGAATCATGATTGGGCTTGAAGCAGCCGCAGTCTCACATGTCAAGGGGTTTCCAGCATGTCTGCAAAGCTCAAGCTGGGAGAAGCGGCGGAATGCTGCGTCCGCGAATATCATTGCCTAATCACTGCTGAGCAGCATCAGCAGCCTAAATGGTGGATAAGTATCGATGACTTGTAGCGTTCGCCGACGGGCTAGCAGCTTGGCCGTCTCCAACATCTCAGCATCCTGCCTTCAAGACAAAGGGACTGGGAGGCATCACGACCACGTCTGCCTGCAATACTTGGCCTCGCAGCTGCCAGTACCACAGAGAGACATTGCTGGGCAGAAGTGTGCCTCAAGCAGAAAAAATAAGGTCAAGTCAAAAATCTGTGACATGGCCTGGCTTGGGTTCCGGCATGCGCCGCATGTGCTGCCGCAGTTTCCCCAGGCGGCGACGCAGCTGGGAACAGCGCCGACACCGCGCACGCAGTGGGTGCCGGGTGGGAGGACGGAACGCACCACTGCGGCAATCCTCCGCAAGGCCTGGCTGCTTGGCTAGCAGCCCTTTCTTCTCAAGAGAGTGCCAGCAAGCAGCATCAGTCTACATGTACACCTCTCTATATATATATGCACACACATCTTTATGTTTGCATTTCTGCTTTGAAGCCATACATGGTGATCCTGCATGCGAGCCTGTCAAAACAACAGGATACCGTGCCACAGCAACTAGGGTGCCTGCTAGCCCCGGCCGCTTTGCTTTGACGGACAGTGCCCCCCCCATCTCCCCCATGAATTCCAAAACGGATGATGTCTTCGGCCTCGCGCCCAGGCAACCTCTTTGGCCCAGGTTCCACGAGCCCTGCCGGGAGACCTGAAGCAGTGCTTGGAAAGACAGGGCTCCCCAAAGAAACTCTGACAGGAATCTGCCACAAGTGCTAAATCAAGTTTGTGAACTTGGCTGGAACCATTGCTGCAGTGACCTTTAAAGTCGACGCAGAGCTCTAACGTCTGAAAGCAGGTTGGTCGATCTCTTGCAGACAGACATTCTTGCATCTCAGTAGCATTATGCCCTGCGAAGAAGCTCGAGCACTCTGTCGACAGGCCTGCAGAAGCGTCGTGGAATCCCTGAAAGCTGTCACCCTGCCAAGCTCCAGAACACAGACTGCCTTTTCAAGTTGACTGGCTAGGCCAGTGTCTCACAGCATTTAAACAGCATGCAAAAAAAGCAACAGTCAAGCGAAACCAAAAGCCGCTGCGACAGACCACCTCAATTTCAGCCCGTAGAGCCGCGCTCTCGACCTCTGCAGCCTGCAGCTTGCTGCGTAGCATCTCGCAACGCACCTGCAGTCGTTCAACAAGCCAAAAGAGATATTTTTGACATTGGGGGTTCCCCTTTTGGGGGGTCCCTATAAGAAGCATTATGACATATTTGTCATCATACAGGGGTAGCATGGGATAACCTTTTGTTGGGAAACAACCAAATGAAAGATTCCGTGCCTCCAGCTGGGTCTTCTCCAGCCTCTGCTGCTCCTTGGCTAATCAGGCCATTAAGGGCCACAGGCAGCAAACCACAAAACGATTCAACAAGTCAGTCTGCAGCAGTCATGCAGCAGTAAATCACTTCGAGGCACCATTTGAGCCCAACCGCGTTGAAAGCGTTCGGTTAGCGCATTAATCCGCTTGGTGGATTCCTGCATGATTGTGAATCGACAACTGAACAACTCTGGAGAGGCAGCAGTTGTCGCTGTCAAGTTGCAATAAGCTGGCTACGGATCCAATGCGAAAGCCAACTCTTGTCTGGCTCCTCCGCCCAGCGCAGCACTGCATCTCTTTGATTCTGCGCTAGCAGTTCTCGGTGCCTCGCAACTGTTGTGGAACCTGGGCAAAGGTTTCGCTCTTTTGGGGTTATATTGGGGTTATATTGGGGCTTATTGGGGTCATATTGGGATAATGGAAAAGAAAATGGAAACTACTATATTGTAAAAAAAGAGAGATTGAGCTGGCTGAGTGATGAAGCCTTCTCAGGCCAACACCGCTCTCTGCAGTACGGCGGCTACGCCCAGCAGCTTGGACAAGGTCCAGCGCTTGGGCAAAGAGCCTCCAACGTGTCAACCAATGTCAAGAATCTTCTCTTTCTCGCCCAATATATACACCATTACAATACAGTAGTTGCCATCTTCTTTTCCATTATCCCAATATGACCCCAAGAAACCCCGATATAACCGCAATATAACGCCAATAGAACCCCATTAACCCCAAAAGAACCCCGAGCAAAACCCTATAGAACCCCAATAAACCCCAATCGACCCTAATATATCACCCCAATAAACCCTGAAAGCTCCACCTTCCCGCATAGCCGTCGAAATCCGCTAGGCTGGCTGGCTCCCAGGGAGCCACTTTGGGCTCCATGTCTTGAAATCTGAAAATGGCCAATGGGTGCAGGATCTTTCCATGTTAGAGGGCTTACTATAATATACTATAACATACCATAATATACTATAACATACCATAATTCTATCATAATATACTATAACATACCATAATTATACCATAAATGCAACTTTCCATGGCCAGCATGATGCATGCTAATGGAGTGCTTGATGCCGTGGATCAATCTCATAAGTGTGTTAGCGCACGGAGAGAACTGATGTGACAAGCCACAGCGGTGCTGAACTAGGGCATGATGAATGCCCCAAAGCTAGGAACGCACGAAGCGGGTAAGCCACATGCCAGAGAATCAAAAGTTCTGATCAGATATCTAGCTTGGAATGTTTGTGATGGGACATGACTTGCTGGAGTTTGCCCGCCGCGCACGTTCAGCACGAGCTCCGCTGGAAGCTTCCCGTTGCAAAGCCTGACCCAACATGTCCCGGAGCCCGGAGTATGAAGAGCCAATCTCAGCAGATCGCGCGGTCCATGTCAAGACAGGCTGCATTAAAGACTTGATTTGAAAATTGCTGCTTTGAGCGCCGGAGTTTCTTCGATTTGGTCTGTTGGCCTTTTTGGGCCGGGCATGGCGCGGCGCAGACCGGCACTCAGGCTCAGGGCAAGGTTTTGTAGCTACAGCCACCAGGAACCACCTTCTCTTGGTCACTCTTTGTCTAACAGCCCAGCGTGCTTGTCACTAGAGGCGGCACATGGCAGGCTGTGATTCCGTTAGCATGCGGGTGGCGGGTGGAAGGGAGCCTCTAGCAGAGCTTCGGAGGGTTCGCTCATTCGCCTATCATACAAGTACGACTTTGGGCTCTGCGGTCAAGAACATCAACTCCGCATGGCAGAGGCTTCCCAGCTGTGCCAACCTCAGGTTGCATCTTCAAAGCCTCCCAGCAGCAGGGTTCATGGGAGAGGTGACGCTGGCGGCGGCAACTAATCAGTGATGCAGCAACAGAAGGATCAGAGTGAAAGTATGATGAAGAGGGTCTGGTTTGTGGGTACAGGAACCGAAACACCGCAGCTTCTTTCTGCCTAACGTCCTCGATGCGATGATAACTCGCGCCCTAAACACTGTAGGCAAGGTAACCGAATAGCGTTAGAGTTCCCGGCTATCATGGCCTACCTTCCACAAGACAGTAGGCAAGTGCAAACCCAGGCCTGCGACCAGGCATGGGAACACTTCCCACCTCAGCGCTGGTACAGGGCTCAGAATCAACAGCGAGGACTTTCGCGACATCTCTCGGCACAAGTATGGGGGACTGCAAGCAATGTGTCTTCGCAGCACGCATCACACCCTTCACAAAATGCTGGAGCGCATGCTTGATGGATGAAGCAGCCGGCTAACAGACCTCGTTTTGGATCATTGCATGATTTGCAACACTGCTGCAAACTCCTGGCCTTCACTTGTCTGGCCGTTCGAAGACGGAGAAGGGAGCGGAGGTCTCGTACTCTCGCCTTTCCCCCCAAGTCACAGACAGCTCTGACAAAAGCCATCCTGCGTGAAGCCGCGTTCCAGCACACTTCCGTACCACAGGATTCAATGGCTTCAAGATCTCTCCCCAAAGGCTTGTCAGCTGCCTCTCCGGCTCCTCATTCACTGCAGAGAAGATCGTTGTCAGAGTCAAGAGGAAGGCGGCTGAGCGAGTGCATGCAGGTGGTAGGATCAACAATTTGCACGGGGTGCAGGATCTGGATGCAGAACATGGCCATGCAGGCAGTGTAAACTCCCCTATCCTTCTTTAGCATGACGAGGATGCAGCATGTGACTCCTTCTTTAGCGCAGATGATTGTCAGAGCCTGCCTCCAGCCCCTATGTAGACGAAGATTGGATCCGCATCGGGCTCTGTGACCTGCAACGAGGAACCGTCTAAGAAAGCCAGTTCACTGTTGACCCACCAATGGTGAACCCGCTGACACAAGCTTTCCGAGACAAAGACATGGTAGAATACGCGTAGAAACTTAGACAACCACAGCGCCATCTTGATCCTGTTGTTGTGGTCTGTATGCATTGCCATAGACTGCCGCTTGCTGGATGTCTAGCGTTGCTACTCGGGAGAAGACATCCAAATTCACTTACCTGCCAATCCGAATGACTGAATTCATGAACCTTACAAATCCGAAACACCCCGGAACAAGAACTAAACTGTTCAGCGTGATGTTTCTGCAGCGGACCGTCACAAACTCTACGTCGTAGATGGTGTCACCGAGTGGCCCAATTGCCTGCATTCGCAAGTTCGCACGAGGACATTAAGCTGACTGGAACGGGACTTCATAGCAGCTGGCATTCCTAAATATCCCACGAACACCAATCTTGACAGGCACCTCTAGCAACTTCACTTCACCCCGAACAGAACACTGCAAGTGCCGTCCTCTTTGACTTCAGAGGCTGTGCAGAAACGTAAGCCCACCAAAGCAGAAATATTGCACGTTTTGGTGGCAACGTGAAGACCATGAACGCCGTACGACTATTCCAGGCAACAACTTTGCTCAACAGCACCAACTGTCCTGCATCCTGCATAAGTGGCAATGTACAGCAGAAGTTTATCGACATGCCCGCACACAACTTGCAGCAGGGGCCCAGGCCGGCATCAGCGGCATCATGGGGCACCCATTTCCGCCCCCAAGGGCCCCGAAGGGGTGGGTGCGAGGTGGGGGTTGGCTTTGAGTCCAAGAAATCACTGGCATGTATACGGGACTCTGCGGCTGCCCACTTAGGAACGAGGAATCATGAGTGACTGTGGACTGTCGTCATATGAAGTATGCCTCTCTATGCTCCCCGTAACTGTAATCAGCTTGCAATGCAGGCTGGGCGGTTAAATCGCGCGCACCTTTGAGAAGGCCACGCACCTGCCCCTCTTGAACAAAAGCAGCACCATTTCCCCCACGCACCCTGCCTCCTCAGGATCATCAATGCCCTCCTGCAGAAAAGGGCATGAGTTGAAGGTGGCATGCCAAACGCTTGTGGCAGCTATTGGTGGCTACATGTTTTCAAGCCCCTAGAGCGGTCCACACCAAAAGAGAGCTCTGCGGGAATCCAGAACCTCAGCAGTGCATTCCAACTCTGAGACAAAGTGGCGCGGCGAGGCGGTCTGGGAGTCCAGCCGCCGCTTCTCCCCCGGCGCCATCATTTGAAGACCTTCCTGCCAACCTGGCGGCTGCTCAGCTGAACATGACCAGCTCACTTACAGAATGCTTCGCATGTACTCCGATTGTCCACATACAACGAACCTGTGCACACACAACAGTAGTTCACGGGCGCCTTCGATGGTGCTCGTGATCTTGACCTTCGTCTGCTCTTGTCGCAAATAGGAGCCTTGGAGCCAAAGAGTCTAAGAGCTCGGATTGGGATTTTCAACTCTGCTTGGCAGCTGACTATCAATCAGATCTCCATTGGAGGCTCTCCAGCCTGTATACCTGGCCAGCCAGGCTGCTCTCAAGCAGGTTGCCGTATATGCATCCACTGTACTGGGAACAAGGTGACACTCATTTTCAGACACCTGACTTTAGCCAGTTTTGAAATCGCCTTTGGAAGCTTTTGGCCTTCGTATGGCTCCATTAGGGTGGGTTAAACTTGCTGAGTGCAACTAGTTACTAGTTGTTGCCCACTCACCCTACATGCGACAGAACTTCAGACCCTCAGCTGCGCTATGGGACCTACTCAAAATTGCTCTTGATTAGTAATAAGTAAGGAAACACCCCCACTTCGCCCCCCCGCCCCCTTCCCTAGGGTAGTGGCCTAGGACCCACTATTCCCAGGAGCCCAAAGCGTTTCAATTGGATGTTAATGTATTGCAATTAGTTTAAATGGTTTTGATTGGAGTTATGGGTTTTAGATAGACTTTAAAAATATTGATAGGTTTTGATTGGATAGTGAGTTGGTTTTAGATATGAAAGGATCGTCATTAAAACTTATTTATGTTTCATTAGAACTTGATTGCTTAAAGCAGATTGAAGCCTTGCGTTTATTGATCTTGAGAAGATCACAATGTAAAGAGGATGCGAAACTAATGACCCTGAACATATTTGCTGTTATTCTAGGGGTTTTCCATTAATCTGAAGAACGCGCCTCTCACGCAGGGTCCGTAAGGGGTAGCTCAGGAAGCAATGTTTGAGCCTTCACTGTAATTCGTACTGAATCCTGAAGAGCAATTCTGGTCTGAGAATCAGCTGTCTTATTGGGGATTTGAGGTTTCAAAATTAAGGCTTTAGCTTTTAGATGCCTAGAATTTGAAACTAAATCTAAACCTTGCTGTTGTAAGGGTCTGGGTGGCAATTTTCTTTAGATCTAGGGTTTGTTTTGGGCCCAACACTGCCACCGCCTTTCAAGCTATCTTTGACCCATAAATTGGTCCATTTTATCTCTTTAAATCTAGGCGGGCTTATGAATCAAGAGCACGGATTAAGTTTCGCTAACCGCTTGCCCAATCCAGTTCCAATTCCAGGAAACTATGTCTGTACAATGGCCCTCAGAAGCCCACAAATGCTAAAATTCTCTGGGCCGGCATACATGGCATGCTTCCGAAGGCGAGCAGAACAGCCTGACGAGGATAGTGTCCGACCGGAGGGGAGGAAGCCTCACGTCCAGGCATGTCAAGTCTGTAGCAACAGGCACCGGGTTTAGAGCTTTAAAGTTTAGGGTGGCTCAGAAAAATTTCAGGCTTGGCAGAATGTCCTGTCACCATGCCACTCATAAAGGTAGGGTATTGTTAACATCCAGGACATTGGAGACATGCTGGATCCAGACCTTGACCTGTAAACCCTAAAACCTAGATCCTAAAACCTAAATCTAAAACCCTAAATCCTAAAACCTGAATCCTAAAATCAAAATCCTAAACCCTAAATCCAGGTGTAGACCTGGGCAACTATAGCTCACTTGACTCAGTTCCTGGGTTTCAAGGAATCTGGGCCATCTTGGCCCTGGGAGCTCAAGTTGATATGGGAGTTTCCCAAAATTCGAAGTATTTTTGGGGGGTCAATATAATAAGGATTATGTTATTTTGGGGTCTATATTGGGGTCCCCCTATTGAGGGAAACTAACATAATTGCTGCACCACTATTCTCCAGCCTGAAGCATGAAAAGCATGGCATGCTTCACTGATAAAGATCCCTTACATTCAGTCATCGAGTACAACCTGCAAGATCAACTCTTTGTGCGGAGGGTCTCTGCTTAAAGTGCTTTCGGATCTGTCAATTGGCAAATTCCTGTATGACTTCTGCCGGATGCTTAGATTCGTTCAGGACCAGAAGCTCCTCCTTTCAAAGTACTGCAGAGGAAGTTATAATTTATCTCCGGGGCAGCGGGCCCGCCGTCGCCCTTCTCCAGCACCTGCCACGCCAGGCCAGAGGGGCTCCTGTTGGCGGAGGGGCTGTGAGTCGTCCTGGGTTTGGTCTCTTGGGGACTTAGAGCTGCGGAGATTTGGGGTTGGCTTTAACTTTATGGCTTCGGCAAGAAAAACTGCGGATGCCTCTCGGCAGAAGGGGGAGCGGTCAAGTCCGCTGGGGGCGCGTAGCGTCCTGCAGACAACTCGTGAGAGCAACACGAGCTATCATGCTATGCCACGCGGAGTGCGTGCAAGGCCGTTTAACAGCACCAATGGAATAGGGTGCCTGCAGCAGCAGTTGGCGCAGCTTCAGCAGCTTCGGCCCGCATTTGCACCTTGGGCACGGCCTGCGGCTGCAAGTCAGCGGGACAACGCCCCATTGGCTTGGCTAAGGGCAGGTAAGGATTGAGAGGATACATGTGTCGTAATACTCGGCACAGCTATCCAATGGCCAAAGCGGCCATGATAAACGGATCCATGCTTCTCTATGAGGAAGCCAGTTCTTCACATCAAAAGAACTGGCCTGCCTGGACCCTGAGCGGAGCTACCCAGGCGGTTGCCCACTGCGATGCACGCCATGCTACCTCGAAATGCTCGACAAGGAAGTCCCCTCCCTTCGGCAGTACAAATCTTTAGATATGTGGCAGCTTTCATATGTTGAGTGCGGGATGAATGGGCTTCATTTTGCTTCAGAGGGGGTTGGCAAAAAGCAAGTCTGCCATAGGGAAGGTGCCATCCCCAGCGGCAGGCGAAGGATTTTGCGCACTTGGATTCTAAATGACTAACGATTTGCTGGTCTTTAGCTCAACATCTCTGGCAAGATCTTCGGGCAGACGTGATGTTTGCATTGACACTTTTTTCACGCGCCCCACTCCGAATCCTCCTCCAGATCCATATGGCCTTCGCCTGACGACCTGTCCGTCATGCAATGCCTGGAAGCCACTGCTGCGTCATCGCCTTGCCTGATGTTTTACTTAATCATTTCTAGCTACTCGGTTGCCTTGAGCTCGCACATAAATCTAAGTTGCCTTGATGTTTCTCAGCTATCACAACTATAGTAACAGCTCATGTTCTCAAGTGGCTTCCATCTTCCAAACCTGGCCAGGTTCAGTCCTTGGCATTGCAACATGAAGCGCAGCTTCAAAGACGGTGCTGGAGCTGCGAAAGCTGCCAGCAGGATGCTGTCATGCTGGCTCAGCATGGCAGCACGCTTAAAGCGAGCACCATCCTTCCTTGTAGTGCTCTTGACATTTTCGGCAGTGCCCTGCAGCTAATCTGACGGCCTGCATGTTACATCAACCCCGGCGCCATTCCGATGGCTCTGCGGATTCAACCTTCTGCCTTGTTGTTCGGCGGGCCTGTGTGAGCAAGCCATGCCAGCAATTGGGCTCTGAAGTGCAGACAGTGCCACCGGCATAGGGTTTGTGAGCCACGAGAGTCCTACAGACCCCCCGGAAGAAGGTTGAGCCTGTATGGAGCTTATGCCCTGACTCTGTGGGAGAGCTCTCTTTACGCAGATCCTAGCTTCCAAGCCTTTAGATGTGAGAGGAAAACAAACCCCTTACTGAGAACGGCCCTCATAAAGTACTCTCATATACTCGGGGGAACGTCTATCATTACAGGGTAGGGGGTTTACTATTGGTAGGAAACTTGGAATCTAGAAGCTGGAAGCATGCATCTGCAGTGGAGCACTATTAATCTGGTGATACCACGACGGCTACGGCTATGAGACAATTGAGGCATCTTAGCCGAAGGCAGCCCGAGCTTGCCAAGGCAGGTGCGTTCGCAGAAAACAGTCTAATAATAATAGTAGTAACAATAGTAGAAAGAGTAATAATAGCAATAATAGTAGCATTAATACGAATGATAGTAGCAATAGTAGTATAACAAAATCATCATCATCATCATCATCATAAACCCCTAAGGCATGTAACAAGCGTAGCAAAGCTTGAAGAGGTTAAGAGTCTAGTGTAATAAGGTTAAGAGGTGTTCAGAGTTTCAGGTTAGAGGCCAAGGCTTGGCAAGCGGGCTGTCTCTTAATTTTGCTAGACACCAGCGCAGCCCTCATACCAATGCTGACCACGGTCAGGGAACACATTAGAGCCTCGTCTTCCAGGATTGTCACAAGGTTTTATGCCTGGCCTGATAACAAAACGTAAGCAGCGGGCATTTAGGATGGATAGAATCCACCACCCTCGCACCCACAGCCGCCATCGCAGCCACCACATCCACCGCAGCCGCAGCCGCCGCAGCCGCAGCAACCCCCGCAGCCACCATCGAAGCCGCCACAGCCGCAGCCGCCGTCGCAACCGCCACAGCCTACACAAAACTGTTGCATGGCTGGCAGCCACTAGATTTGGATTTTGAGTGGGTCAGCTCCGGACGGGTTCAAGCCAAAGCAAAAGCAAATGAGCTATGAGGTGGATCAAGGGACAGCCACCGCAGCAGCCGCCGCAGCCACCATCGCAGCCGCCACAGCCGCCGCATCCACCGTCTAGGCCGCCACCAGGGTAAGGCTCCGCACCTTGCAAATTTGCTGGCCTAGTGCCTCACACCAGCACCTACAAAGCTTAGGTAAAGACGCGAATCTGAGCGCAAGGCGGAAGCCTCCCTGACCCATGTCCGGAGCTTTGCCGTAGGCGTCCCCACCTGCAATGGCTGCAAGACCACCTTGAGGAGCCATAAAAGCATGCTGAGGGGGTAAGGAAGAATTGTTGACAGGGCGGCCATAGACTTCTCGGGCCTCCCCAGTCACCTTTGCCACCACCAGCTGGCGCTGCGCCCTTCCCGCTGGAGGATGCACCGGTGACCTGCAGAGCTAAGGTCGTAAGGGCAATTTCGGACTCTCACTGCATCGGGAAAACAACTCTCTTGAAACTTTTTGGATGCATACAACATATAATGCTCAATGCAGCCAGGAGTCACTAGTGGCCTCAGGCACCGCACTATCCAGGAAGACTGGGCACTCAGCATATCACAAGTCTGAGCGTGGCACTGTATACTTCTGCTTCTGAGCATTCCACTGAGCCTGACATTGCGGGTTCTTGCATTTTCAAGCTGAGCTGCAGTGACCTGAGCCCTCGGCAGTATACTGCACTGTCGAGTTCTGGATGAGGGTCTGGCCATCCGTTAGGGCCGTCCTGCGAAATCACATCTGGCAGCCTCAACCTTCTGCCTTGTGGAGCTTTGGCTCCCAGCGCTGTTTCTCTGAAAATTGTAAATTTTCTGCGGTCCTGTGCACGTAGCAGTCATCACCGCCTTCGGCAGGGCTGACGAAGCCAAAGCCTTTCTCCTCAAACCACACCTGCGAAGGGGTCATGTGTTCCGATAGAATGATGCTGCAGACTGCAAACTGCCATGTGTCTTCGTTTCCGGCCTTTACTATCCCAGTGGCTGTCACGGTGGGTCCACCAAGTCCTGAGATCCAAAGCTGATTCTTCTGACCGACTTGGAGCTGCGGTTCCAACTTCACTTGCATTCCAAGCTGCCTGATTGGCCGCCCTGGCACAAGTCCCTCCCTCTCTCTCTTTCATACAGACACACACGCTTGAGCTTCAGGCACAAGGACAGGAACAGTGCTCACATGAATCCTTCATCTTTGTTTCACTGTGCTCGCGATTCCAACTTGGGTATAGCAGCTGCAAGCCTTTTGCCCAGGTACACACCCCAGAACTTGAAATCATGCATGTGCTACATGTTTGCTCCTAGTTGTAGGTGTTGTAACTGTCGTAGTCATCAAAGTCATCGTTGTCGTAGCAGTAGCTGTGGCAGTAGCAGCAGCAGCAGCACGCAGCAGTAGTAGTAGCAGCAACAGTAGTAGTAGTAGTAGTAGTAGTAGCAGCAGCAGCAGCAGAAGCAAAGCAGAAGCAGAAGCAGCAGTAGCAGTAGCAGTAGCAGTAGCAGTAGCAGCAGCAGCAGCAGTAGTAAGAGGAGGGGTTATAGTAGAAGTTGTGGTAGTAGCAGTAGCAGTAGCAGTAGCAGTAGCAGTAGCAGTAACCGCAGCAGCAGCAGCAGCAGAGGCAGCAGCAGCAGCAGCAGCAGTAGTTGTAAGAAGAGGGGTAGTAGAAGTAGTGGTAGTAGCGGTAGCAGTAGCAGTAGCAGTAGCAGTAGCCGTAGCAGTAGCAGTAGCAGTAGCAGTAGCAGTAGCAGTAGTAGTAGTAGTAGTAGTAGTAGTAACAGCAGCCGTGGCCGTGGCCGTGGCCGTGGCCGTGGCCGTGACCGTGGCCGTGGCCGTGGCCGTGGCCGTGGCCGTGGCGGTGGCGGTGGCGGTGGCGGTGGCGGTGGCGGTGGCGGTGGCGGTGGCGGTGGCGGTGGCGGTGGTGGTGGTGGTGGGGGGAGGAGTGGGGGTAGTGGTGGTACTGGTGGTACTGGTGGTACTGATGGTACTCGTGGTACTGGCGGTACGAGTGGTACTAGTGGCACTAGTGGTAGTAGCGGTAGTAGTGGTAGTAGTGGTAGTGGTAATGGTAGTGGTAGTGGTAGTGGTAGTGGTAGTGGTAGTGGAAGTGGTAGTAGTGGTAGTAGTGGTAGTAGTGGTAGTAGTGGTAGTGGTAGTAGTGGTAATGGTAGTTGTAGTAGAAGTAGTATAAGTACTGATAGAAATAGAAAAGCAGTAGTAGTAGTAGTAGTAGTAGTAGTACCCACGAGTCGGATATCCGACGGTGGGGTTTTTGAGCATTGGTCAACCTGAAACCGTGTTTTCGCTGTGGCAGTTCTGCAATTTTGCAGATTTTCTTCAGGA